CTGGCAGGGAGGGGCAGATGTGCTGGAACTAAGAGCCACCACGAAGAGGCGGAACAACCCCAGCAGCAGCACAGCCGGGGAGCTCCGAGGGGCCGCGGGACACTCCGCCTGCACTGGGCAGAGGAGACCGTGACGGGAAGGGGCAGCGTCTGGGGGGACAGCAAGCGTGCAGGAGCCCGGGGTGCGCCCCCGGGGGAGCCCTGCCCTGGCAGAACACAGCCAGCAGAGCGAGGGCGGCGGTTGTCCCCGCAGCACGTGTTGGAGCACACCCGCAGTGCCGCGGCGTTCCGCATCCCCCGTTCCAGTTGAAGGGGCGCACTGCAAAATGGGAGAGAGTCTAGCAAGGGGCCACCAACGTTAGGCGGCTGAGAACGTGACATCGTGGAGGAATTTTATTTGCCCAGCCTGGGTAAGAGGCAGCCTGGGGACCCCTCAGCACAGCCCTCCCGTGCCGGGAAGGTAAGAGGTACCGCTTTCACAGGATGTGCCGTGAAAGGACACGAGACCGCAGGCAGGATCTGCTTTAGCGGGGATTCCATCTGGAGAGCAGAAGAAAGTTCCTCACCGTGAGAAAAGTTAAACATCAGTGACATTTCCCCTCGCTGGAAGTACTCAGAGAGCTTGGCAGGGCCCTGGGTAACGAAGCCAAAGGCCTGCTTTCAACAGCAGATGGGGACAGACGACCTACACAGCCCCCTTCCAGCTCAACGCTATGACTAAGAATCTCCAAAAAATTTATGTACCAAGAAGGAGGAGCACCACGCAGCTAATCCCTTCCTCAAAAACACTCTCCAGAGGCACGGGAACAGCGAGAACCTTTTTTCCTAGAATTCGCCGGCGGGAGCAGGGCTATCCCGGCTCCCAGAGCGCCACAACTCACGTTTGTCTAAACCTGCACTCACCTCGTTCACAGTGACTTTGGCACTCTTGGCAATCTCCTCGAAAGTGAGCTGCCTGTGGTTGGCCGGCCGGGTGAAAGTCATCTGAATTCAAGTAAAGAAAACAAAACAATAAATCCCACAGCTCTAGTTTTTCCAACAGCGCGCACAGCTGCCCTCGCCCTGCCCTGCTGAGCTCTCCATCTGCAGCAGCAACTGATTTCTCCTGTTTAACCAAAACACTCCAAAGAAAAAGGCACTTACCCCCGCAGAAAGGAGCGGCGCCCCTCCCTCCCACCAGCCGGGCTGCCCGAAGCAGCGGGCCCGGGCAGCAACGCCGCTCCGAACGCGGCGTATCAGCCCGTGCTCATGCCCCCCCGGGCGTACGAGAGCCCCGACACCACCCAGTGCCCACGGGCGGCCGAACTCACACACAGTAACACGCTACAAGCGGCACACACAGACACGATAACCTGACACACACCGCGCGGGGCTGCGTGTGAACACACACTGCGCTTCAGGTAACCCAACAGTTCAGTTCTTGAGGAAGATCCAGGGCCGCTGGGGTTCACACACCAGTATTATTTGGTAACAACAGAGCCAAAGCCTTCCAGTGCCAGGAAAGAAACGGCTGAAAGGGTTAGGGTTGCCTACCAGGGAAAGGATTTTCAGTCCTCAGGAAACCAGGAGTTTAACTGCGCTGCAGAAGCCTCGGCTACGCTACAACACACTCAGTACCACTTCAGCCGCCACCCCCAAGACACGAGGCCTGCTCTTTTCGTCCGCACCTCCCCGTCCTGCCCGAGGCAGCACACAAAGCACCGCACTCCGCCCGCTCCCTCTCCCCCAGCCCTCGCCTTCTGGCACCATCTAGAGGCAAAATTCGCACTCGGCTGTTTACACCCGCGGGTGTCTGCGGAGGGAACGAAGGCACGGCGGAGAGCAGAGGATCCGGGAGAGCTGCCCCACCGACGGGCACCTGGAGCAGCCCCTTTCCATTCCCTCACGCGCCGCACCTCCCGGCTCACCTCCATAAGACACAACAGCTGAATCTTCTGCAGCAGCAGCGCTTCATTCGCGGCCAAATCGGGCTGTAAAGAGGATAAAAGGGGACAAGTTCATTACCTCTTCCCCCCGCCCCCGGGGTGGAACCAGGAGGAAGCCTCTCGGGGACCCACCACCCCCGAGCACTGGGAAGGAGGCCGTTCCAGCCACCCGCCGCCTCGCGTGTTCCCCGCAAGGAACCGCAAGAAGTGCCCGAAACGCGGCGCTTCACGGGGCAGGCAGCCCCTGAGCAAAGGCTCAGCCTCGTGCGAGCGGACACACAGGTCAGCCTGCGCATCGCTGCTCCGTCAGTCACCTCTGGTACAGCCAGTGTAATTAACACCCAACACCCTTTTCCCCAAACTTCCCAGCACACCCGGGAAAACACTGTTTTACTGGGGAAGTCGTTCAATACTGGGAGCGACCAGTGCCACGGAAACCAAATCAGAGATTATCTTCCTGTGCAGGGCTGCGTGTTGTTTGTGCGTGCTTTGCCCTTGGATCACAAGAGATTCCTCTTTACTTCCCTCAACCAACCAGACACAGAGCAAAGCCAAAACTAAGAACGCAAGTGAAGACAAAAGAAACTACTACACTACGACTAAAATCACAGCAGACTCAGGAATTCTTAAGGTAAAGGTCCACGGAATCAGTGTCCTCTGTACGTACTGAGCCCAGGCCTTAAGCAACACAGCAAGTCCCTCGCTCACCTGCTGACCCCACGCTGACTTCAAAGCCTGAAACGTCTCCACATTCCCGCTGTTGAAGGCATAAAGCGTGTCAATGAGCCACTGCCGATCGGTGCTCCTCAGGGACTCCAGCACGGGGTGCATGAGCTGCAGAAACCAGGCAGGGCGGCGTCGGCGGGGTAAAACCCACCTCCCGACGCCCAACAGCCGAGGCAGCGCAGCGTCAACTTACCAGCTCCCCAAAGTTATAAACGCCTTCTCCCAAGAGCCCTGCCAGTCCCAGGGTAAAGGCTCTCTCCTGCTGCTCCGACACTGAAAAACAACCCCAACCCAACACAAATCGTGTGGATGAAGCAGCAGCCTAAGCCCCATCAACCCCTCCCTCACCCTCGTCTCGGGGCCTGGATTGAACCACTCCCTCCCCCAAGCCCGAAATGCAGAAGCCTGCGGGAACCACAGCAGTGGCACGAAAGGGGCACTTCCTGAATGCGAAGATTTTGAGGCACTAGAACAAACTACCCCTTCCGTTGGGAGCACCTCCCCCCTCCCATCACCCCGGCGCCGCCCGGGGGCAGAATCCTGCTCGGCCCCTCATCCTGTGGGTCCCTCCTCTTGCCAGCCAGATCCCGGCCCAGCTACGGCAGATCCCACGCCCCGCTGAGAAAACCTGTCCCCTGCCCGTGCTTTTAGAGGGAAGCGATGGAGCGGAGAAGGAGCAGCGGGGCCTCCTGCGGCCCGAGTTACCCGGCAGGTCTTTGACGTCAATGCACCCCAGGAACCGCAGGGCGTCCTTGTAGTAAGAGGCGTGGTTGCCGATCGTCTGGTAGTACTTGCTGGAGAGGTCGTAGAAGCGGCTGTGAACCGACGTCACCCCAGGGAGGTTGTTCAGCATCTCCTCCACCTCCTCGATGGTCTCCTGGAGGAGGGTGGGAGCCCGTTTGTCAGAGGCGAAGGGGCACCCCCTACGCTCCCGTGCCCCCAGCCTCCTCGATTGCCACAGCGAGGGCCACGGTCTCCGTGTGTGGCCCAGAAGGAATTTCCAGGCAGCAGGAGAGCGGGCGAGGCCACGGCCAAAGCCACTACCCCGGCACTGAAAACAAAGCAGCGCCGTTCTCCCTGTCCCTGTGTGCAGTTAGGTAAAGGAGACAACCCAACCCCCCCCCAAACCAACCCCGCAGTTGCGCACACACACGCTTCAT